AAGTCACTGGTCAGATGTCGGGTCTCCTTATTCTCCAAACTTAACACATACCTCACTGCTGCCATTCCTTCTGATGGCTTTTTCTGCATGTCTTCAATCTAAAACCAAAGAGAGAGAAAATCAATATACAATTTCTGCCTACATGAAAGCTTCCTGACTACCAAAGAATCCATAATGAAAAACATGAGTCCAGAATATGGAGGGAGATGTTTTCAAGATGCTTTGTATCAAATTGTAAGTGGTTTGAGCTCCAATAGAAAGACCCCTAAGAGAGATCAAAAGCTGTCAGTGTCCTTAGTGCATGTAGCAATTGAGATACTTTTCCCATGTGCCCCAGATCCTCTACTTTCTACCTGCAGTGGGAACTTGTTCTGAGTTAATCCTATTTATACTGACAAAAGCGGATAAAAGTTGGGCTGAGTTTCCACATCCCTCTAAGCTGTAAGATAAGGTAATCCTCTGACATGATTCATTAACAGATGGTCCTTGTTTAACAACCACATGTCAGTGACTGTTTGAACTTACAACAGGGCTGAATGAGTGACACTTATCATAGCAGCATCCTGCAGTCATATGTTCACCATATGCAACCTTCTTTGCTGTCTTCCTACAAGCAAAGTCAATGGGGAAGGCAGCAGGAGGTCACAAATAGTGACCACATGATATTCTTGCTTAATGATTCATGGTGTTTCGCTTAAAGGCTGCAATCAGAAATTCCAGAGCAAAGCAACATATCATACAATGTCATGATTTACAACTGTGTTGCTTACTGATGGACATCACAGTCCCAATTGTCATTGTTGTCATGATTTTGGCTCTGTTTTGCTGCTTATATATTAAAAGCATATGGTTTTCTTAATCATCTGATCTATTCTGCCAACATAAAGTTCATATGTAAACAGCATTAATTAAACTGGTATATGAACAGAAGTATTTAATTTGCTGAAATGACTATTGGATTTCATACAAAGAATATGGCTGTTTGTGAAAGAGATGCTTTACTTATAAAACTAGAACCATGCTTTGCATTAATGTTTTGTTACTCCCAGTTGCCAAATATAAGTTTAGTTATTCTGATATGAACTTTTTAGAAACTTCTAGTAAGAACATTAATAAACAAACATATCACTAAATTGTTTTATTGCTTTACCACTTTAAAGATTTTTTTTTTTTTTGCAATTTTGAGAAGTTCTTTTGGAGAAAACATTCTTAAATTAGTACTATTTCTCTAAGCTCTCCCATCCAACTGGCTTCATTCCAATTTCCCAATGTCATATTTGACATTTTAAATTATGTCTAGCAGCTCAGAAATGAGAGAAAATGCAATCAATCAATCAATCAATAAGAATAGAGCTGGAATGGACCTTGGAGGTCTTCTCATCCAGCCCCCTGCTCAAGCAGGAGATCCTATACCATTTCAGACATGTAACTGTGCAGTCTCCTCTTAAAAACTTCCAGTGATGAAGCACCCATGATTTCTGATGGCAAGCTGTTCCATTGGTTAATTATCCTTACTGTTGGGAAGTTTTCAGACTAGTTTAAATGCAAAAATACTACTCATATATCCATCTTGACCGACCAGATGAACATTGATTATGTCTTAGTGATAGTATTGTGGTACTTCTGTAAAAGATGCTGTACCTAAATACCTGATCATACAATAGTGCTAGCTTCCTCTACAACATCTCAGGCAATCTTCCATCTTTGTTTAGGAATACTGTGGATTCTATGACGCTGAATTTTTATTATTTATTTACTTCACAAACTTGTACTGTATAGCCACCCATCTAATAAATGTGACTTGGGGTGGCATACAACAAATCAACAGCCAAAAACAAATATAATTATTAAAAATAATTAGACAAATAAAAAAACAAGATTGTAAGAAAGTGGACAACAATCTAAACACAACACAATCATCTTGCAGGCTTCCTATTCCCATAGGATCCTCAAAGTTGCTGGGAAAAACATTTGAAAGAGTTTTCTAGAAGGCTAGTGGCTATTTGAATGACTAGTGACTAATTCTAGAAGGCTAGAATTTTGTGGTAGATAAACTTAAACTATTATAGTTGGGAAACTGAATTAGCATAGCTAAATATTACCCAACAAGATTGGGTGGATTGTTCTATGAATAGGTAGGTAATCTTCATACAGGGAACATTTGCCCGTATCTTTGACTTTGGCCCCATTTGATTTCCAACTTACTATATTGGTTGTTAGGTTTCCTCCTCTCTTGTAGATAATTAAACTGTTGACTGACATTTCATCGATCGAATGATTATATGTGGATGATAATCCTTGGTGCTGTATCTTAACTTGAATAAATTGTTGGTCACTATTGAGAATTAATCTGGAGTATTCAGCAGGGTCCTGAGCAAAATAAAAAGATTTTAATCTATATCTGCAGTGAAGTTTTTTCTCATGAAGAATAAATTTCAAACACACTTTTGCATTTTTCCATTAAAAATAAGTTTTAACTAGATCAGTGTACTCATTTACTTTTAAAGACTTGATGATATGAGGAATCCTGAAATGGTGG